CCCTGCACAGTCGTAAATGCATGTACAACTTCTGACTCCCCCATAACTTAACTATTAGTAGCCTAGTGTTGATCAGAATGAAGCTTTACAGATAATAGAAACAGTTAACGTGTATTTTGTACATTCTATTTGTATTATATACGATGTTCTTACAGAAAAGTAAGCTAAGTTAGAGACAAAAAGTGATATTCAGGAAATAAGAGAAAATATATTTACAGTACTTACTGTATTTACCCAAAAATCCACACGTAGGTGGATCTGTGTGGTTCAAACACGTGTTCCTGTGTCAACTGTATATCCATCCATTTTGTCCTAAAAACACTGTGACATGATGGTGACTTCTGTGGCAAAAGGAGCACCAGCAGGAACCTGAGAGAAGATCCAAAGGGCAGGACTGTAACTGAACTCCTGGCACAGAGTCTGGACTTGGCTGTGGAGACACGTGAGGCTCCAGGGTGTACGGCTTCCTGTTGACCAGCCTGCCTGTTCCTTGTACTCCCATTTTGTTTTTACTACTTTTTATTCAGATAATTGTGTTATCACAAACTGATTTCTCTATCTGTATTTTCTTGGCTGTAAAGCTTTCTGTAAGTTAAACGTCTTGAGAGAGCAGCTCCAAGAGGGAGATTCTAGTTTAATACCTGACATTTTCAACTTAAGAATGATCAGCTGTCCTTTTCCAGAAAGAAGGCAAAATAAATGTAAGTCTAACGTGAGTTATTAGACGGTATATTTTCTGTACTTATTTAATAGATTTAGTAATGTACATTCCTCCCTTCTTTGTCCACTCCCATATGTTTTTATTGATTTAAGAAGCACTCATGTTATTGAGGGCGTAGGTAAACCTGCATATTTATACTGGTCAGCCCACATTTCTTGATCACCCTTCTGTATGAAAGACTTCAGAAGTGTGAGGGCACTGGAAATTTGCCTTCAGTCCACCGTGGGGCCTTTGACAGACCTCACATTGGTAGCAAGACCCCGGTCGTGGAGTCCCCAAAACGACCCTCAAGCTCAGTCACTCGCTAGGACGGTGTCCAGAACTTGGGTTGTTTGAAAAAACTCACGGCTATAAATATGGTTCTTGCCACAGAAGGAAGTCCAAATGCACCCTATCTCTTGAAGCAGGAAATTGACATTGTCATGTACACAGATTAATTTAAAAAGCCAGACACCAGTTTTCAGGGGTCTTTTCTTTGAAGACTCTTGCGGATGTGCTGGACTTGAGATCAGCACGACGACAGTGGTCAGGAGAAGCAGGCGGTATGCGGGAAGCCGCTACATAGGCCCCTGCAGGCAACAGGCTGACGGGGTGGGGCTGTGTTCCCCACCTGCCCCTGGTCTCCTTCCCTGTGACAGAGCTCAGAGATGGTGTGTGCACACACTGAAGCCTGACTTAGAGGGGTTGGCAGGTCTGGTGTGTGAATCCTCACTCTTAGAACACTTGCTGTGTGACCTTGGGTAAATTAAGTTTTCTGACCTTTATGTGTAAAATGGGACTATTGACCTTGAAGAGTTACCATAAAGATTGTAAGTGACATGTGATGGGTGCCTGGGTGGCTCAGTCGGTTAAGCATCTGACTCTTGGTTTCAGCTCAGGTCACAATCTTACAGTTCGTGGGTTCGAGCCCTGTGTTGGGCTCTGCGCTGACGGTGCGGAGCCTGCTTGGGATTATCTCTCTCCCTCTTTCTCCTTCTTTCTCTGCCCCTCCCTTGAGTGCACGCGTGCTCTCTCTGTCTCTCACAAATTAAATAAACATTAAAAAAAAAACAAGAAGAAACGTGTGGAGCACCTGGCTCAGTACCTGGGCCCTGGTGAGTGTCCCTCAAATCATAGGGAGCTCTGCTGTTACCACCTTTCGTGTTAGGCTCGTGCCGAGACTTCACCCGGGGCGATGGTGGTGCCCCACTCACGATGATGCTACCACAAGGGTGTCGTAAGGCATCACACAGAAGGCGGCCTGCCAGCGTGCTCCGTGCATTTACTGGAAGCAAGTTTGTACTCATACGCACACCTAACATGCTCAGTAAAGGACATCCGTATCACAAATGAAAGCAATGAATTCCGCTGGGAGTTAGTAGGAGGTGAAAGGTAGTTAGGAAATGTCTTAGAAATGAACACTGAGTGTATATAACCCAGAGTCCAGAAGTAAAATCAGGATGCGAGCATGCTTGGTGGTTTCAGAGGACACCATGTCTGGAGGGACCCTCAGGGAACGTTAGTGGGCTCTCTGTCAGTGCTCCTACAGAGGGAGGCGGCCACAGGGCTTGTGGTAAGGCTGCGGGGAGCTGAGGGTCTGTTGAGATGGCCTGTTCATGCGGGTCACATCAGTCACCCCAGGCCAGGGGCACACAGCTCCGAGAGCCAAGGGCAGTAGACTGTGTCTCAAGGAAAACAGCTCTCAGAGCTTTTAAGTCATGTTCAGAGAGGGATCTTCTACAGAGATTGTTCAATTAGAATTTTCCCTTTTTGCGTTTGTGCAACTAACGTGAATTTGGTTTTGATGAATGAAATAAAGCACGTGTTGTATTTTTCCACCTGTGAAAACTGTTTAGAAATTGTTAAGCTTTAAGATAAGTTTGTTATGATGACTCTTACTCCTCATGTTATCGATGCTCTGCTGTGGTTTCTTTGAAGTCCACACCAGACCATAAACTGAGATCAACAGTTTCAGTCAGAACAACCGTGCTATTTCTCTCACTCCTGTAAACACATGTCTGGATTTATCTCTTGGCCTTTATTTCTTGTTCAATAATAAACCTACTTCTGATGCAAAAACTTAGTTTTTAAATTTGGGGTTTTTTTGTGGGTTGTTTTTTTTTTTTTTTTTTTTTTTTTTTTTTTTTTTTTTTTTTTTTGGTATGTAGGAGAAAGGACCAATTGAAGTATAAACAAAGTGATTGTAGAATTAAAACTTTTTACTTCATTTCGTGGACTGAGATCAGTCCCACTGACTCAGTCTTCAGTACCCACCACTGCCAACTGTAGAAGTTACTGTCGCTTCCTTACATGGAAAATAGTATTTACACACGGAGGTACCCAAACCCCACCTTGAGCCCTTTATTAATTGATTCATTTGCCCGCTCATTCGTCAGGAGATATTATTGACCAGCTCGCTCTAGGTGCTAATGCAGAACATGAGGCAGAGGTTTTGAGAGGAAATGGTGTTCAGATCAGAAGTCGCAGATGGCTGGCCACTGCTGGGCAAGTGGCCGTCGCTCCTCCCCTGCGAGAGAGGAGTGAGTAGGTGAGCACCGTTCACACCGGGTTCTAGAGTCTCAGTACGCTGACGAGGATGTTCCCGTCCGAAGACTTTTCTCTTCCCTGTAAGAAAGACTGTGGCGAATCGGCTGGAGGAAGTGGGAATCCGTGTGTCAACGCACTTCCTAGGCAGACGCTGCCGAGCTCCCGGGCAGTCTCCGCTCACCGTGCGAGGTTCGCTGTCCTGGACTGAGGCCGAGCATACGCTGTCGTGTGGTTTCTCCTGTTGGTCAGCAGTAGGCACGGACAAGGATGCGGTGGTTGGTTCCTACGTGTTGGTTTTGCCAGGCAGGCAGAATAAAGGGTTGATGACAGACCAAGAAGTTGAGGTTCTTTGTGAGGGAAAGTCGTGATGACAAAATCTCTAATGCAAAGGAGACAGTCATGAACTGGGGAGTAGAAATCCTTTGAGCGGGTGAACCGACAGGCTAGGAGGTAATAGTTGAAGAGCAGGATCTTTGGAATCTGTTTCAAGGGCCGAGGTCAACACACTTTTTCTGTAGTGGGCCCAAGTGTAAATATTTTAGTGTTGAGCCAAGAGGCAAAACCAAGGCTTTTGGAAATACTTCTCTAATAAGACACGAGACGGATTTCCACAAAAGTCTGTGTGGGCCAAGTTCATAATAATCGAGTGCAGTTTTTTGTAATACAGGCCTGCTAATGAGAACAATGCAGCTCCTTTTAGGGGCGTGGTAACACTTCACTAACCGAGGCTCAGAATAGTGCTCCCCATCACCGAATCGGTTGCAGGTGTCGATCCCTTAATGCTAATCTATGAGGAGATTTTACATATTTTGTCTTGGGAGGTGTCTTCACACTGACAGGTGCTCTCAGAGCTGCCGTCAGTCCCTCAGTTACTTTAGTTGAGCGTAATCATTACGCAGAAGGTGCCCGTGGAATTGTTTTTAGATTCTGCTCCTTGTCGTAGATTTTCCACATGTTAAGACTTTGTGGATTAGTCACTTACACACGGTAGCGAGGTGGAGGCCTGTCAGTCGCAGGGCTAAATGGATTTTGAAACATGTGAATTTTCTGGGGCGCCTGGGTGGCTCAGTCAGTTGAGTGTCCGACTTCGGCTCAGGCCATGATCTCACGGCTTGTGGGTTCGAGCCCCGTGTCGGGCTCTGTGCTGAGAGCTCGGAGCCTGGAGCCTCTTCAGATTCTGTGTCTCCCTCCCTCTCTGCCCCTCCCCTGCTCAGGCTCTGTCTCTCAAAAATAAACGTTAAAAAAAAAAAAAAAA